AGAGAAAAACTATAAGATTAGTAACATTTTATTAGTCAATTTCTGTGCAGATGCAAAAGTGCTTTGAATAGATTTTGTGGAATTATTCATTTGTGTTCGAAAAACATCAAACGTCTTGTTTTTCAGTATTGTTATTAACTCTACCCGTGTTTTTTTAAATTTTTTTTTTACTTCATGTCTAGCAGACAGGCAAAACAGATAGTATTAGATAGATCGTTTTCAAAGGTTTTTAATGAATTTGTATGGCATTTTCTTATCTCGGTTTTCTTTTTTCCCAAATATATTGGTCTAATTATGAATTATATATTTTTACAATCTTTATTTTTATATTTATTTGCTAGACAAACGGGTGACGCAGTGGCGCAGTAGGTAGTGCTGTCGCCTCACAGCAAGAAGGTCGCTGGTTCGAGCCTCGGCTCAGTTGGCGTTAGTGTGGAGTTTGCATGTTCTCCCTGCGTTCGCGTGGGTTTCCTCCGGGTGCTCCGGTTTCCCCCACAGTCCAAAGACATGCGGTACAGGTGAATTGGGTAGGCTAGATTGTCCGTAGTTTATGAGTGTGTGTGTGGATGTTTCCCAGTGGATGTGGATGTAAAAAAACATGCTGAATAAGTTGGCGGTTCATTCTGCTGTGGCAACCCCGGATTAATAAAGGGACTAAGCTGACAAGAAAATGAATGAATGCAAGGTAAACATTGCAAAAAAAAGAAAATACCAACAGATTGTTTTTGTCGTCCATTTTTGTGCAGATGCAAAGGTTAATTTTTTTTTTTTGTGAATTTGTATGACATTTCCCTAGCTCAGTTTCTTTTTTCCAAATCTAAACGATCCATTTATGCAAACTTTATTTTGTTTAGTCATTTTGATTACAGTGAAAAATGCTGCCCTTTTACACGTGACACATCCTTAAATGTATAATCATAACATATCTAGAAAAAACCTAGATAATATATATTTTTTTAAATTAATTTCTTTACAGATGCAATAAGTGCTTTTTGTGAAATTTATTTATAAAATAATTTCGGGAGGATCACATGCTTATGATTGCCTTGCATTATCCAATTAATGATTTACCAATCAGATGACTCCTAAGCCACTATAAATGCCCTAGGTTTCATACCACAGACATCTTTGTTTTAAAGAATCCCCCCCCACTTCCACCCCTACTCCTTCTCCTTTCAGATGGATGGCACGGTGGCCCAGTGGTTGGCCCTGTTGCCTCACAGCAAGCACATCTTTGGTTCAAGTCATTACCAAGCCAGTCAACGTTTCTCTGCGAAGTTTGCATGTTCTCCCTGTTCTCGCATAGGTTTCCCCCGGTTTCCTCCCACCGTCCAAAAACATGCAACGCAAGTTAATTGACTAATCCAAATCGGCACCATAGACATGCTCCTAGTAAGTAGTTTCCTCTTAAGAGCGATCACTATCTGTTCATTAGCTACTACAGCAGGGGAATACTCCAGATCTACCTGAGCTCAAACTCCCCTCTCGCCTTGGATTGAGAGGGAGCCCAAGGCTCGGGGATCTTATGAGCTCAGGGCTCTCCTCTGGGACAGCATGCTTTACAAGCTTTATAATCAATCATCAGCTAAGTGTCAACTCAACTTTATTGCAATTATATGGCAGTTTCTTACTTCGGTTTATGTTAATCTAATGATGAGATATGCATTTATTTTGTTAAATTTATATGTATTCTTTCAGGTGACATATAATGTATGGTAACCTTAGTCATTTATTCCTTTTAAACTCAGCCCCTTTCTCAAAGTTGTCTGCATGTCTCATTCACATCTGTCTTTGTCCAGTCAACAAGTAATGAATGCTTGGCTTGTTGCTGTGTCGTGGCTAAGACAATGTAGTTGATTGGCCAGATGACACTTCAGCAGCTGCACAGCAATCAAAAGCGTTATCTTGTTTCAGTTATAATATATCTTTTTTATTTTTTTATGAACAATTGAGTATTGATTTGCCACTGGGGTAGTAATAAAATTAATAATTAAATATATATATAAAAGAATTATATATAATTAATATTAATAATATATAATAAAATATAAATATATAAGAACACTAGATAGGTGTTATAGATTTTGCTGACTTGAGTACCTGCTTTTTTATTTTTATTTATTTGTTTTTATTTATTTATTTATTTATCAGGGTTTGGTGTTCTCAGATTTTTCTGGATCTGCATATGTGGCAGCCCAATTAAAAACAACCCAAGTTGACTCATGGGTTTCACAATAACTAAAAACCACAAACAACAAGAGTAAGTCAAAGACAAAATTCATTAAAAAAAAAAAGTACACACAATAAAATATAGATTTTTGTTTTTATTAATCAGGTTAAAATTGTACATCTTATCACGTATAGCAGTAATATCACAGCTAACCTTAACAAGACTCATGTTTCGACATTCAGTAATGCCTTCTAATCATTAACATCATACGAGCAGAACTAATAATGCAGGCTGTAAATTGCATTAAAAACAGCATCCGATCTTTCCAAGCTGTGCTAACATGAGAAATAAACAACACTTGAGCAACAACTGTCATCATCAGACCACACAACAGCTCCCCGATCAATATCACAACATGTTTTTCTTCATTGCCTGACAGCAGATTCCTGAGATAAAGCCATAGGTCAGGCGTCCATGTAGGATACTTGATGCTCACTGCAAGACTGAAGAAGAAAACGATCCTGAAGATAATGCATGACTGAAGAATGTAGAGCACTAGATGCCGCTTAACATTCCTGAAAAACACACCCACTCCCACAAATGAGTCAATAATTGTCATGCAGTGCAGAGCTGTACAATGAATGCGAAGCAGCTCCGATCATTTGAAGAGAAATGCTTTAGTGCATAATTAATGAATCTGATTTCAAATGATAATTTTGATTGAGCCTGCATGAGGAGAGTCTAATGTATGAAGTTTTCCATCGTGTGGGTGTACAGTTTAAGGGCAAGAATGAAAACAACATTAAAGATATATGCTCCAATTTTTATTACTAAAAAAAACAAACAAAGTCATTTCAACATTTATGGATGTCAATAAATATTATGAATTGTTTATATTACAAACCACGACTTCTCATGTTCCTTTCATTTTCCCTTGGCTTTGTAATTTTCACATTTGTCAAACTCTGCTGTCAGCACGCTGTGATGTGAATGAAAAGGTGGTTATTTTCCATCCCTGCAAACCTCTAATGGAACCTTTAATTATATCGCCTGTCAATTTGCCCTTAATATCAGTGGCAAGTCATAATTTGTTAGTCTGACACTGACATGTTTTCAAATTTCACTGGCAGTTTACTGAGAATCCTGCGCCGTGTTTTCTCCACGGTTAACTCATGAATAACTTATTGCCCTTATTTCCCCTTCTTTTGTTTTGATACCAGATTATATTTGCAGTAAATATTGGAGACATCATGTTTGATGTGTTCTGTCATTAGACAGCATATGATGCTCTCAGTAATAATTTACTGAAATGACTGTAGCTCAGTGGATGGAAATGAAACAATCATTATTTCAAAGAACACATGTGGCAGAAATATTAGATGACACATTTCTGACACTATGCATTTTAGATTCAATGCCACAGGAAAAAAAGAGAGGCACTTTGTAAGAGAGAGAGAGAGAGAGCGTGTGTATTTGTCAACCCAGGCTCTTTGAAAATGTGCCTCAGTCTACATTTTGGAGCTTCACCGGAAAAGGTGGTTTGCCATCTCCAGATTGGAGTAAAGTCCGTACCCTAGGTGGAAGAGTTCGAGCATCTTGAGGTTTTGTTCACTAGTAAGGGTAGGATGGAGCGTGAAGGCTGATTTATACTTCTGCGTCAAACGCCGGCGTATGCTGCGCTGACGCATAGTCCTTCGCCGCGGCCGTCACAGTCACTGACGTGCATCTCTCAAAAAATCTAACTACACGTCGCAACGACACGTGGCGTAAGCTCTGTGATTGGTCAGCTTGGTAGCGCTGACGAGTCTGGGCGGGACAAAGAGCCGCGCGAATGGCGCGAGCGATTGTTTACAAGTGTGGAGTACCGTGAAGGAGCTCCGGATGGAAAGTTTTGTTTTGTGTTTACCTCATAGTTAAAGTTGTTGCACGTCCGCCGGTTCCTGTCTCAAAATGAGCGAGTTTGAGCCACTTGTACATCCCGGAAGTCTTCAGGAAAAGCAAAACAGCAGAGAAGAAACTCGACACAGAGGAACAGTTACACCTCACTGCCAACTAGCGTTTCGGAAGTGTTAATGCAGACCGACAGAGACAGCAGCAGAAGTATAAATGCACAGCCACGCGCGTTGCCTGCACCGTGGGTTACGCCAGTCACCTGACGCAGAAGTATAAATCAGGCTTTAGATTGACAGGCGGATTGGTGCAGCAGTAGTGCGTTCAATGTACTGGTCCGTTGTGTTAAAGAGAGAGCTAAGCCGAAAGCTCTCGATTTCCCAGTCAATATAGATTCCTACTCTGACCTATGATCTTGAGCTTTAGGTCATGACTGAAAGGACACAATCTCACACATTGAGTTTCCTTCGCACACTTATAGATGAGCTCTGTTATCCCGGGTGGAGTTCAGAGTAGAGCTGCTGCTCCAACACATCGAGAGAAGTCAGCTGAGGAGGCTCGGGCATTTGTTTCAGATGCCTCCTGGACGCCTACCTAGGGAGATGTTCCAGGCATGTCCCACCGGGAGGAGGCCTTGGGGAAGACCCAGGACACGCTGGAGGGACTATGTCTCTTGTCTGGCTTGGGAAAGCCTTGGGATCTGGAGGAAATGTCTGGGATAAGGAAAGTCTGGGGTTCTCTTCTAAGACTGCTGCCCCCGAGACCCGACCCCAGAAAATTGGTTGAAATAAATGATTGAATAAGTCTACGTTTTTGCAAGTAAAATGCATTGCTTTGGGTACGTTTTGTAGCAAGTTTAAGATAACGGATTCACTAGAGGGCGCTGTATTTTTTGCACATCTTAAATACATTAATTTGGGTGTTTTGTTGTGCTTTTCAGATACACATCCTTCTTGAACAGCAGAAAGTGGTCATATAGATCAGCTAGTGAACCACTGACAATGTAAACCCAACCAAAAGCGTTTTCAAAAGCAAATGTAATACAAAAGTGCACTGGGACCACTAATTTTTAAATTTCTTTTACCTCGTTTGTGGAAGCAAGCTTCATCTAACTTGAACACAAAACCGTACAAAGTGAGCTACGAGCAAACTGACGCACCTGAAAACTGTCCATATGGAGACAGATAAGTAATGCAAACATTCATTCATTCATTCATTCATTTTCTTGTCAGCTTAGTCCCTTTATTAATCCGGGGTTGCCACAGCGAGTTTATCCAGCAAGTTTTTACGCAGCAGATGCCCTTCCAGCCGCAACCCATCTCTGGGAAACATCCACACACACATTCACACACTATGGACAATTTAGCCTACCCAATTCACCTGTACCACATGTCTTTAGACTATGGGGGAAACCAGAGCACCCGGAAGAAACCCACGCATTGGCAAGGAGAACATGCAAACTCCACACAGAAACGCCAACTGAGCCGAGATTCGAACCAGCTACCCAGCGACCTTCTTGCTGTGAGGCGACAGCACTACCTACTGCGCCACTCCCTCGCCCTGACACAAACATATTCAGTACAAATCAAAGACCGTGTTAATGTTTTGTTTTATTTGTTGTTAGGAACCTTTATTTTGGTGTAAGGAAAGCATGTCAATTATAATTTATTTATTAGTAACATATTCAACATAGGCTCATTCTGAAAACATAGCCCTATATACATTACTGGAGATCGCTAATCATGTAGCCAGAGCTACTGTACGTATGGTTGCATTTCGTCTTCAAAATGAATGCTATGGGGCGGTGTGACTTCATGCTATCAGCTGACCGCTTGCCTCCGAATGGATGGCTTTTCCGCTGTTACAGTTGTCCAGTGGCTCGCCGCGTACATGAGCAGACTTGTGACATGGAGCGGAGTTGACCACGATGAAGGAGTACGAGTCTGGCAAAGAATAGTTCCAGAAAGCAGGTAAGACATAAAAGCGAAAAAATAAAATAAGCAAGTAAAAAACAGAGTGAGAATGTGGTAAAATCTGAAAATGTGGTAAAAACCAGGCGGCCACAAGGGCTTTTCTTTTTCTGGATTGCTTTTGAAAGCACTGTCGTTGGGTTTAGGGAAGGAGGAGGTTTAGTCAGTCGATCGGTCAGTCAGTGTCGAAATCGCCCTCTGGTGGATTTCCGTAGGAACAGCAGGAGCAAATGGCACTTAAAAGAGAAGTTTGAGATCTGGAAAAGCGTAAAGTGTAAAAAAAAATGAATGAAATCAAAAGCTGCGCATTAACGTAGCTCCTGGGACGTATTTGGCACTGTCCAGAAATGTATATAAGGGTACGTATTCAGAATGGGCCTGGGTTGAATATGTTCATGTCAATATTATTAGTGTGAAAATAAACAGAAATTGTTGTTGTCATATTGCCCCCTAGTGTTTACTTTTTTTATCTTAAAACTTCAGTCATGAGCATATGGATAAAGTATGTTACTGCAGTTTCACAAAAATGTTGGCTAAAGTACATATTTCTAATGTGCCTGTTCTGACATCTGTGTATGCATGCAAATTAGTGAGTAACTAAAAATCTATACTGTATATCTATATTTTAAAGCATTAGAAATATTAATAATAAAAGCACAGGACGGATGTTTCTCTGTCTTTTGTTGTGTAATGTGGTAGATAGTCATGCATCAGCTGTGGTATCTGTGTGGAGACGCTGCATAATAATTTTTAAAGTGTGAACGTTATTTCCTTCTATGTTTGGATAAAGCTCCTATAAATCTGCTCTTGAACTGGTGAACGGCGATCTGAAGAGGTGATGTATACTGACATATCGGACTGTATGTGCTCGCAATGTCAAGTAGATTATTGACGCTGCGACTTCATCCTTCCACAGTCTTTGATTTCCCAAAGCACTTTAATTCCATGAAATCCTTTTGCTTGTGCTAAGGCAAGCGGCACTATTTCTGTTGTGGTTGCTAAGGTCTTTCAGGTGGCTGCTTGGTGGACAGTGCAATTTGCAACTTGCCGTTTTCATACAGTGGATGATCAGAAAATCTGCAGATCGACACTGAAGGATGAAGCTGAGATCTAAAAATGACGGACAATAGGGCTACTTACGCCTTTGATTTCTTTCTTTCTTTCTTTCTTTCTCTAGATGTCTGTCTCTCTGCCTATATGTCTATCTGTCTGTCTAGATGCGTGTATGGATGTCTGTCTGTCTAGATGTCTGTCTGTCTGACCATTTCACTTGCAAACAGTTTTTTTTTTTTTTACAGAAAACTGTTAAACAGAGCATCTGCTGCGTGAGAATGCGAGATAATGGATCTACTTTCACTCTTGGATAGAGAAACCTTTACGCACAGACATCAATTAGTCTATAAATAATTAATTTCGTTTGTTAAGCGCAAATATTTGTTTCAAAACTATTTCTAAATTCAGTTCTAATTTCCAGCAAACGAATAAATGAACAATAATAATGAAATGTGCTCAAAAACCTGAGTTATATCCTAAAACACATGCTGCGCCCCATATGGTCTAAAACCTGACAGGTGGACAAATCTAAGCTTGTTTTTAATAAAACAAATATAAATATGGATATAATAAATAATACTGCTAATAATAATAACATTATACAAAAGCAGATTGTTATGAATGAACTGAAAAAGCCTCCCGAGATGAAGAAGACATAAAAGCAGTGATTTTCATATTTATGTAGGCTAGAAAATAATATGTTCTGTAATATTTTAACCCTTTATATTTATATCCTATATCTATCCTTATTATATCCTATATATATCCTTAATATTTACTTTTTTTCGTATGTAAAGATATTTGTCTATCGCTCTCTTGTGTTTATTAAGCAGTGTGTAAGTGAGGCGCAACTCTGCGCTGGAGTTTAGACCGGGTTTGTTTTGGTCTAATGAAAAATCTATTATAGTTTCTCAAAATAGCGACGCGCCAGCAGTGCGCCTCAGAACGCCTCCCTTTTTAGACCAGAACGCCTATGGGTGCACATATGAGCGCAAATGCATTTGCTATTTAAACAGCGTAGCGCAACGCCTCAAAACCACTCCTGCACCAAGCTGAAACTACCAAAAGACTACTGCGCCGTGCCTTGCGCCACACTGCGCCGGGTGTATGATAGGGCCCTAAATGTTAATATTTATAGCTCTATTCATTTTAAATTTTAAGCCAACAAACTTTTTATTTTGAGGGACTTTTATTCTGAGCCTTTAAAGGATCTTTTATTTTTTAATATTTTTATTTCTTGCACAACTTACAACCTGAAACACAGTATCAACCCTAAAGCAATGCACTTAAAGTGAACATCCTGCTGGCTGTCTACCGGCTGTTATGAATGGTAACATCAAATACTATGAGATTTCCCCTCCAGAAAACAAACAGGATTGTTGACCTTCATCAGGGCTCTCCTGCCACTGATTCAGCTCTGCCATATAAAAGAGCATCAGGGCTTCATCTGAAGGTGTTGTGTTTGGTTGGCTCTGTTCATGCTGAATGAAGATCCAGTGAGTTTTCCGCTTCACACCGCTCAGCCGTTCCTCTCAGCGGGTGATTCACTATCACTAGAAAGACGTGTTACTCCAGTGGGCGCGTGGGATTTATTAGTGATTAATGATAACCGCCTGTAGTCATTCTGATAGTGCTGTTCAATCGCTCCTTCAGATGTTCAGATAATTAGATGAGGTTTACTCTGGGAACACCATTAGTCTGGAAAACAACATTTGCATGCACCTTGTTTTTCATGAAAGAGCTGCACGCAGACATTTATAATGGATGCTGCTGTCATTCATTTCTATTAGTCTAAATATAATATATTTCTTAGCCTATTCGGTAACACTTTACTAGGAGTGCTCATGAAACCTTTATAATCATGATATGACGCAAGTAAGGTGTTACAGCACAGTATTTATAAACACACTATTTTGTAGTGCAAGTTTTCCTTCTTTTTTTTTTTTATATTTTAGAATATATATTTTTTTGCCCTGTAAATTATAATGAATAAAAAGTCTGAGATTCCAAAAATGTTACATTTCAAATTTAACAAATTAAAGAAAATACAGCTTACACATGTAAATGATAACTATATACACTATACAGCCTTAGCATTTGACCATTGCATTTTACAGAACTGAGCATGCTTAATAAAATAACACAAATTTGTTAGATATTTCAAGAAATAGCACGCAGAATTGAACTTGAAAGTAAAATTGATCATTTAGGCTCTTGATATTTCAGACTGGTATTGTTTGTAACGCACAAAGTTTTTCTGTTTACTGCACTTTGATGTTCTTGGTATTTCTCTATCAATCTTGCACATTCACAGAATGTTTTTTTGTTTAATTAATAATAAAAATATTTTGTCTAAATATTTGAGAAAATAAATATTTATTTATTTTTATTATTTTTTTAGACATAGTTTAAAAAAAACATCATTAACTTATATCAATCAAACTGACTAGAAATATGAAGTCAAACTTTGCATAACTTAAAAAAGAAATAGCTGAAACCGGATAAACTTGTTAAAATAAGAAACGAAAAACATACATAGTCATGACTTTGTCATATAAATCTTTATTAACCCAGGGTTATTATGGATATGTACCCTTGTCTATATTTGTGTAAAGTGATAATTATGTACCCAGAGGTAGATCTGGCTGCGTTTTTTTTTTTTTTTTTTTTTTTTTTTTTTAATTTTTATTTATTTATTTATTTATTTTAATGACTGATACGGGTACGTATGGCGGATTCAACAGTTTCTTTTTGCACTACTGTTGACCACTTACCCCTATGTGGATGTTTTTTCCGGTGTTACCAGTTTGCCCAGTAGGTCACTGCATACGTTGGCGAGCTTGGGATGCAGAACAGAGTTGACTATGATAAGTGCAAAAAATAAATAGAGAACCGGCTGAATTTGTGGTGAAATCACATGGCTGCGAGAGCTTTTCTTTTTTTAGATTGCTTTTGA